CGCGCGCCTCCAAGGAGGACATATAGTATTAGTATGTCCATGTGCGTCCCATTGGGGGCCTCGTCCCTGCTCTCGCTCAGCCGCCACCCGCCGTTGAAGGGTGGGCGCGTCGGGAAAGGGGGGGGGGGGGGCCTTGCAGGGCGGTCGGAGGGAGGAGGGCGCGCAGGGTGGGCCGGAGGGCGCGCGCGCGCTCGGTTTCCCCCCGGCGAGGCGGCGAGGCTACCATGCGCACTGAGGTAGCTCGCGGGCGCGCCCAGGGTGTCGCCAGGGGGGCCCGAGAGACCTTGCAGACGGCTCGAGGGGCTTCGAAACGGCCCGAGCGACTTCCGAGACGACCCAAGACGAGCCAAAACGGGCGCCATTTTGGAGCTCTCTCGCGGCTGTGAGAGCGCCCCCACGGGATGGCGCGAAGCCGTGTTGGGGGCCTCGAGAAGCCCGGCCACCCGCTGGGGCAGCGCTCCAGGGGATTTTCCATGCTTCGCTGCGCAAGCTCGTCGGCGGTCTCTGGGAGTTTCTGCGCGCCCCAGAAGGCCCGAAGAGGCCCCCCGCCTGGGCCACGAAGAGCCGAAATTTCAAGTCGCGCGGTGCGATTTGAAATTGGGCTCTATTGGACTCCCTCGGGGCCCTCTTGGAGCGCCTCTGGTGCCCCCTGGGGTCCTCCTTCGGCCCAGTGCTGGAGTGCTTCGCGGGCCTTAGGGCGGATCCAAAAGGGCCCCAGAAGGGCATGTAGAAAGGGCACAAAGGAATGCGGTGCAGTTTGCGGTATTCGGGTCATAGTGCCTTTTTGGTGTCCTCTCGGAGTCCTTCGGGGCCCCGCAAGGTCTTTCTCTGGCTCCTCCCAGTCAGTGTTGGGCCTTCTGGGGGCTCCGAGAGGCCCCCACCCAATGGGGTCTCAAGGTTGTTCGATTTCAAGCCGCGCGGTGCGATTTGGACCCGAGACCTCTCGGTGTCCTCTTGGAACCCTCCCGGGTCTCTCTTGTGGCTTCCCAGAGGTTCTCCGATATCGTTTCAAGGGCTGTCTCGGGGGCCCAGGGGAACCCGGGGCAGTGTCGCTGCGAGCTCCGGCAGGCGGGGCGTCGCCAGGTGCTCACAGGGGTCGCTCTCGGAACCTTCTTGGGTTTTTTTTGGGGGGGGGGGCCTTCCTGGGCCCCTCGAGGGCCCCTCGGCCTCTCTCCGGACTTTTCTGGGGCAGCGGAGAGGGCGGAGGGGTACTTGGTGGGGGGCGGCACCGAATGACCAACGGGGGCGGAGGAAGAGGAGATGGAGGGGCCGTGTTGAGTGGTTTGCGATGCATTCGTCTTTCATGTAGCAACGGAGTACGAGAAGGAGGATGGGGGGGCGGAGGAGGGGGGCCGCTTGCAGGCGAGACTGCAACATAGGAGGGACCATTTTGAGTGAAGTCGCGCAGCGACCCAGTGCTGTCCCAACGCGGCGCAGGCAACCCCCAATACGTTCCAAGCAGGCCCTAAGAGGACCTCCAGCAGTGCGCCGAGACGGGCTCTCCAATGTCAGGGCGGTGTCGACTACACCGTGCCGCGCACAGGAAATCGCCCGGTCTGCGTTCGTTTTTTCATGTCAGCGGTGCATGTGCTCGGTGCCGCATGAGCCCCGCAATCGAGGATATTGCGGGTCGTTTGCGCGCGTGTCTTCGCGTGGCCGAATCGCGCGGCCTCCTCGAGAACAAATGCATCACCCGGGATGATTCCACTCGTCCCGCTCTGCCGCCATGGCGTTATGATGGGGGTGCCTCGGTGCTCTCTTGCGCCCGGCTTCTGCCTCCTGCAATGCGACCCTGCCCCCCCCGCGCGCGCGCGCGCTCCAGCATCCAATCTCCTCCTCCTCCTCCTCCTCCTCCTCCTCCTCCTCCTCCTACTGCCGTGGGCCTCACCTCCGTCGGGGAGTTCGAGAACTCCGATAACCCCCTGGTGCTCAAGGACATCATCGGTAACCTCATCGCCTTCAAGAAGGCAGGGATCGTGGTTGGTGCTCGTCGAGGCGTAGGGGCAGCGGGCTGAGTGGCCCTTCCTCACTCCGCTAGGGCTCTCCGAGATCGGGGAGCAGGACGGCGGCATCGGCAAGGCCGTCGTGTGCAACGCCATCGTCGTCGCGGTTGTGGCGAACAAGGGTGGCCCAAGGTTGCAGTTGAAGTGCTCCTTCAACCAGTTCTTGCTCCTCTTCTGAGGAGGCGGGCCAGGCGGCCGAACCCTGACCTCAGGGCTTTCTTTCTTTCTTTCTTTCCTCCTCCTCCCCCACCTCCTCCTCCTCCTCCTCCTCCTCCTCCTCCTCCTCCTCCTCCTGCGGAAGATGTGACTTGTCAGCTGCGTTTCCGCGCGCGCGCCGCCCTCGGGCCCGAGCTGCGCGCTCGCCGCCGCGTCCACCTCGAGCGGCCCAATCGGGCCTCTGCGCCGCGTCAGAGCCCCGTCTGGCTGCCTGGGCAGCCCGCGAGAGCCTGCGTGCGCTTTCGCGTGGGCGACCTCAAGCGTGCGATGATAGCGCCAACACTGCAGCCTCCAGCAGCCACGCGCACTTCCTCGTGGGGCGTTCGCCGTCGTCGTGGCGACGTTGGCCCCCGACTAGGGGCCGCGCGCGATGCTGCCCTCGCAGTCTGATGCGCCGGCGCGACAACGCAACGCAACACCGCGCAGTCATCGAACAATCCCGCATCAAATTCGGGAACCATTCGGGCACAGCTCGGGCACCATAACTTACTTGGGCCCGTTCTCCCACGAGGTTTGTCTTGAGAGGCTGAACCCAGCTTTTCGCCACAAGAAAAAAGCGCCCCCTCGTCACCTCCTCGCCCTCCTTTGGGTAGGGCGCGGGATTCGGGGGGAATCGTTATTACTTCGTCTATACCCTGGATGCCACTTCACCATGGATTCGAATAGTTTTGAATCCGGATGCCACCTCTTCAGTTCTACATTCGTAACAAGGAGTTTGACCAGCAATCCAAGTAGGAGCGGGTTTAATGCGAGGCGGATGCTGCGGAGAATTCGGAAGAGAACGCCCATCCAGGTCCCGGCCAGGTCGTCGCACAGTGTTCCGCCGACGTGCTTGATCTAATATGCGGGGTCACGGCTGCCCTGGCTTGGGCTCTCAGGACCAGTTGAAGATGGCCCCATCAGACGGCCCAAACAAGCCCCAGACGGCCCAAGAGGCCGACGCACCACCAAGATGCCGCCTCCAGCGGTCTCCAAAAAGCTCCCAAGAAGCTCCCAGGAGGCCCCACGAGGTCCCCTAAGAGACCCCGCTGCAGCCCCTAAGTGGCGTCCAGCAGAACCCCCAAAAGCAAAACACATTGATTCTGTGTTAGTTTTTGAAAGACTTGCACGTTCTCGTTTTTGTCGGTTCCCCGAAGCTGCAAGACTGCCCAAGAAGCTTCCCAGATCTCTCCAAGACGGCCTAAGAAGATGGTCAGATGGCCCAAGTGGCGCCAACGACGGCCCAAAAGCCCCAAGACGGCCCCAAGAGGGGCTCAGCCAAAAAAACAGGAAGAGGCATGTCCAGCTCTCCGTTCCAAGATGGCCCCCAGAGCCTCACAGAACCCTACAGGCCCCTAGATGCTTCCAAAAGGCCCCTACAGAACCCTACAGGCCCCTTCCAAGAGGTACTCCCAAGATGCCCCTAGAGGCTTCCAAGAGGCCCCCAGGAGGCTCAGTGCCCTGCAGACCCCCAGCAGCCCCCAACAGGCTTCCCAAGAGAACCCGAAGAAGCGACAGTCACTGATTTGCTCAAGGATTTCGACGGATTTTCTGAGTTCTCACCTTTTCGCCTTCCCGACGCTTCGAGACTGCCCAAGAAGCTTCCCAGTTCGCTCCAATACTGCCCAAGAGGGGCGCCACTACGAAGAGGCGCTCCAGACGGCCCAGGAGGCCCCATGACGACCCTAAAACAGCCTAGAGGATAAACAGGAACGAACAATTCCAGCTTATGGCCCCAAGAGCCTCTCGGAGGCTCCGAAGTACTACCATGCCGCCGGAGAGTCTTCCGGGCACATGATTGCCGCCGCCAGGCGGATACATTCGTTCGCCGGCGCTTTCGTTCGAGCAACATTTGGCCAATGATACCAGATGTTCGTTCGCATGCGTGCCTGCCCTTCGGTTGCGTGGTCACTATGGCTTCAGGCTGTCTACGAGGTATTGATAGCATCGCGCTCGTAGTTCGAAAGTTCGCAGCGGTCCGGCACATGAGACACGGTGTTTGGATCTGATGTTGCACTCCGCGAGTTTGCTCCCCATTATCAAACAAATATTGTCGTCGCCAGTCGGAGGATGTGGAGGAGGAGGAGGAGGACGTGGAATAGAGGAGGAGGGAGGAGGCAGAGGATGAGGATGAGGATGAGGATGAGGATGTGAATGACGTGGAGGAGAAAGAGTGGGAGAAAGAGTGAGGAGTGAGGAGGAGGAGGAGGAGGAGGAGGAGGAGGAGGAGGAGGAGGAGAGAAAGAGCGAGGAGGCGGAGGACGGGGAGGGAAGAGAAATCCCTACTCAGCTGCTGTTCCTTCCCTCGCTCCCTCCCTTTCTGCCTCCCCGGCCTCTGCCTTTCTTCGTCCCCCCCTCCTTCCCTTCCCTCTCACTCTCTCCCTCCTTCCCCCTCCCTCTCCTCCCCCAGGCTGGCCCCACAAACCTTGGGATCACCTTCGGCAAATCCCCGCTCAGGGAAAAGTGTCTTGCTACCTTTCTGAACCTTCACCTGTGTGCACGAGAACCTACCGTGTGGAGACCGAAATCACTCAGAAGCGGCCGGGCCTGAATTGTTCATGGCGCCAGGGTCGGTAGCGTTGGGATGAGGACTGGGGCCGAGTGTGGATACGCATCATGGTCAGGGCCATGAGATCTCCCAGATCTCATGGCCCCCATCTTCCTTCAACGCTCTCCATGCCCTCTCCTCGTCCGCGCACATTTCTCGGGCCATGATGCGTTGCCCCCCCTCCTTGTGGCCCGCCGCTTCGGCACACCCGACGGGGACCTCGCCGTTTCCGCGCCTCGCCCGCTGTCCGGCAGGCGCGCGGGGTGCAGTCGTCCAGGCAGTGCGCCCGGCAGGGCTTCAGCCTGGCGCTGTGCGAGGTGCTGGCGGCCTTCCCAGCCGAGCTGCCGGGGGTGGTCACGTTGGTCAGGATCGGGAGCCTTGAGACGGGGGTCAATGCAAACGGGGGTCAGCCAGGGCGCCAGATCCTGCAGGATCCTGCCAAGACCCCCTCTGGCTGACCCGGGTTTGGGAGCCGCTCGTGGCCGCGAGGCGGCCGCGCGTATTGGCTGACCCGGGTTTGCGAAGACCTGCGTTGCAGTTTTTTTTTTTCCTGCATTGCAGTTTTTGGTTTCCTGCTGACCCGGGTCTGGATTGACCCGGGTCAGAAGATCCCCGACAGGATGTTCCCCCTTCTCGCCGTGAGTGAGAGTCTGTCGGGGGAGGGCCAGTCGAGATAGCGGCGGCCCTCCCCGGCGTGTCTCGTCCTGCTTTGGCCTCCTGCAGGCTTCTCCTCGCCGCGGCGGCTGGACCGCGTTCGAAAAAAGTGTCAGGATAGACCACGGGGAAGTGTCTGGGGACCCGTTTTCAGCGGATTTGGGCCAGGCGGGAGAGCGGCATGATAAATCCCCGCCTCGCACTTGTGCGGATCCCAAGCGGTGTGAAACGCAAAGCACGTCCTTCTCCTTCGCCGTTTCCCTCCCTCTCCCTCTGGCCGTCTCTCGCTCATCCCGCTCCTTCCCTTCTGCTTTCTGTTTTCCCTCCGTCCTCCCAGTCGTCTCCCCTTCCTCCTGCACTCCTGCCTCCCCCTGCGCACCCCCTGCAGCCCTCCCTTCCTCCGGCGCTCCTCCCCCCTCCCACCCTCCACCACCCCGTCTCTACAAGGGCACCCTCGAATCCTTGCCCCTTCGGCACGTCCTCGGCCCATCCCACACGCCGTCAATGGCCAATTCCGATGTACAGGGGTCTTGAATTATTGCGAAGGCCTTACGGCCGGTGCCGCCGACCCTGGAAGACGACACCCACGATGAAGGTGGCAGCCGGAGGTATTCAAGCACGGGGAGGAACGGGAGGAAAAGGAGGAGGAGGAGGAGGAGGAGGAGGAGGAGGAGGAACACGCGAGGAGGAGGAGGAAGACGCGAGGAGGAGGTGGAGGAGGATGACGACGATGACGACGACGACGACGACGACGACGACGACGACGACGACGACGACGACGACGACGACGACGAGGGCGGCGGCGGCGGCGGCGGCGGCAGCGGCGGCTTCGACGACGACGAGGACGACGACGATGACGGCGGCGGCGGCGGCGGTAGCCGCGGCGGCGGCGGCGGCGGCGGCAGGCAGGCGGCGGCGACGGACGGCGGCGGCGTCGTTGGCGGCTGGCGGCGTTGGGCCGCCTTCCGGGACCCCCCTCCCCCCGGGACCCCCCCAGGGGGGGGCGTATTTGGGTGGCGACCCCATGCACCCGGGACCCCCCCCGGACCCCCCCCCGGGACCCACCCCCGGGACCCCCCCCCCATCGGCGGGGAAGGGATCGAAGGTCGATTCAATTACGATGGAGCTCATTTTCGTTGAGGGTGGCGCGGTAGCTCATTTTCGCTAAGGGTGGCGCGCCGAGGACGACGCGTCTTCCACACGCCGACAGGGTCGGCGGACTACTTCGTTATTGTTTTTCCGTTGTACCCCCCCCTCTTCTTCTTCGTTACCCCCGATCTCACCTGTCCCTTTCCTAGACTCCTAGACCTGTCCTGGAGCGCATTCCGATGGGAATTTCCGGGGCAAATCCAGCCGCGGGGGCGAGGGGGCCCTCCGAAGGTTTGTTTCCTTCAGGGGCAGAGGGCACGCCGAGCCAGAGCAGGAGCACGAAGAGCAGGAGGAGGAGCAGGAGCAGGAGGAGCAGGAGCAGGAGCAGGAGCAGGAGCAGGAGCAGGAGCAGCAGCAGGAGCAGGAGCAGGAGGTGGAGGAGAGGTCGAGGCCGAATCCTCCTTCCCCTTGTCGTTCTCACCCTCCTCCGCGGCCCCGGCAGCGTCCAGCGCCTCCGAGGCCGCCTCGTCCTTCTTCATGCACCTTACGCCTCACATGGTAGGCATTGGTGTCAAATCCTGACCCCACCTTGCCCTTCCCCAGGCTGCCTTTCAGCCTGGGGGGGCTCCTTCTCCTCCTCCTCCTCCTCCTCCTCCTCCCCTCCCCTCCTCCCTCCTCCTCCTCCTCCTCCTCCTCCTCCTCCTCCTCCTCCTCCTCCTTGACCTCCTCCTCCTCCTTGACCTCCTCCTCCTTGACCTCCTCCTCCTCCTCCTCCTCCTCCTCCTCCTCCTTCCGCCTCTTCTCGCTGAAGCCTCCGGAGGGCCTCAGAGCTTTCTAGAATCAGGAAGCATGTCAAGCACCTGCATCCTCAATCCACCTCTTCCTCCCTCGGAGCCCCCTTGCGCCGCCCTCCGCGCCGCAAGGAAGGAGACGGAGCTACAGTCGGGCCTGAAGGCGTCCGAGCAGAAGGAGAGGCTACTCGGCCGGCTCTTCGCGTTCGCGGCCGTCCTCGAGGCGGGCTGCTTGAGGACCCCGCGGTCGCCCAAACGCCCTGTGCTTGTGTTCGGGATCTCTTGGGAGGCATCTCGGAAGCCTCTCGGATTCGGTTTTGGGGTGGGGGCTTCTCGGGGGTCTATTGGGGGCCTCTTGAGGCCTGATGGGCCACCTGAGGGCCTCCTGGAGCTGTTTCGGGCCTCTGAAGGGCCTACTGGGCCTACTGTCCGTCTCGGGGACCATTTTGGGGCGAACGGCTCGAAATGTCGGTTTGTGTTCCTCTGGGGTTTCTCTTGGGCCTTCCTTGGAGCTTTGGTGAGCTGTCTTGGTGACCTCTTGGGCTGGTTTGGGGCCATATCCCGGGCGGTCTGGGGGCGCTCTTGGGGGCCTCTTGGGCCGTCTTGGGGCGGTCTCGGAGGGATGTTGGGCCGTCCTGGAGCGTCGAACGAAGAAGAGATGAGAGCAACAACAATGTTCAAAGACCACCAGACAATTACTGAGTTGGGCATCTCGGGATCCTTCTGGGGGGCCTCTTGGAGTCCCCTTGGAGCTTGCTGGGGGCCTCGTGGGCCGTACTGGGGCCATCTTGGGCGTCTTGGAGCACTGTCGGGCTGTCTTGGATGCCTCTTGGGCACTCCTTGGGGCCCTCCTCGCCCGTCATAAGGGGCCATCGGGCCTCTGGAAAAGCCACCCGAGGAGGCCCGAGAGCGCGCGGTAACGCCTGGGAGACTTGAGATGCTGGGCATCTTGTCCCGAAGTCGAACATTACATGATGGAGTACAGTGTACCGAGGTCCCGAGAAGCTCGGGGAGCACTCCACTTCGTGCCTCGACGCACGGTGGCGGATCGATACACACATACATTTATATATATATATATATACATATATATATGTGTGTATATATATATATATATATATATATGTAGGCCGGGGGGGGGGGGGGGGGGGGGGGGGGGGGGGGGGGGGGGGGGGGGGGGCAAAAATCGGTGCCGTCATCCCCCATGGCCGCCCCCCCGAACCTTTGGGGGGTCACAGACCCCCCGGGACTGCCCTGGGCCGCTTCCAAATTGCCCACGACAGGCCACGCGGGCCGTACAGATGGTCAGGAAAGCCTGAACAGGCCCCGAAGACGCCCAAGAGCGCCCCAAGAGGGCCCGTGAGGGCCCCAAGAGGGCCTTCAAGAGGCAACAATCTGCCCACTTCCTTAGTAAAACGTATGTTTTCGGCATGCTCGCTGGCTTAGTCTTCACAGCGCCCCAGACGCCCCCGCGGAGCCCCAAAACAGGCCAATAGAGACCCAAGAGGGCCCCAGACGGCCCAAGAGGGTCGGCCTGTGGGGCTCACGGAACCCCCCGAGACGGCCCAAGAGGCCCCGAAGCCGGCCCAGGAGGCCCCCAAGACGGCCTCAGGGAGGCCCAAGAGGGCCTCGTTCGAAATCATGTTCCCGGAAGCCTCTCCGGGAACATGACTTCCGGGTTCCGAGGACGCCCAGGAGGCCCACACGACAGCCTCAGCGAGGCCCAGAGGGCCCTGGATGGCTTCAAGATGGCCGAAGAGGGCCCCGAGAGGGCCTGCAAGAGGCAAACATCGGCCCATGTCCTTCGTAAAACGTGGATTTTCAGTCAGCATACTCGCTGGCTTCGTCTTCGCAGTGCCCCAGACGCCCCCGAGGAGCCCCAAAACAGGCCAATAGAGACCCAAGAGGGCCCCAGACGGCCCCAAAAGGGTCTGCCTGTGGGGCTCACGGACCCCCCCGAGACGGCCCAAGAGGCCCCGAAGCCGGCCCAGGAGGCCCTCAAGACGGCCTCAGGGAGGCCCAAGAGGGCCCCGTTCGAAATCATGTTCCCGGAAGCCTCTCCGGGACCATGACTTCCGGGCTCCCAGGGCCCCCTATTGGGCCCCAGGACAGCCTCAGCGAGGCCCAAGAGGGCCCGAGATGGCTTCAAGATGGCCGAAGAGGGCCCCAAGAGGGCCTTCAAGAGGCAAAAATCAGCCCGTCCCCTTAGTAAAACGTACATTTCAGCATGCTCCCTTGCTTCGCCTTCGCAGTGCCCCAGACGCCCCCAAGGAGCCCCAAGACAGCCCAAGAGAGACCCAAGAGGGCCCAAGACGGCCCAAAAGGGTCGTCCTGTGGGGCTCACGGACCCCCCCAAGACGGCCCAAGAGGCCCCAAAGCCAGCCCAGGAGGCCCCAAGACGGCCTCAGGAAGGCCCAAGAGGGCCTTGTTCGAAATCATGTTCCCGGAAGCCTCTCCGGGAACATGATTCCCGGGTTCCCAGGACGCCACAGATAGCCCCCAGAGGCCCCGGACACGCCGAAAATGGCCTCAGGACGGCCGACGACGCCGCCAAAACGCCCCAAGAGCGCCTCCAGAGGCCCCTCCAAAGGGCCCCAGAAGCCGAAAATCATGAATTTTCTAATGGTTTTTGAAGCATTCTTGCGCTCTCCCATGTTCAGCCTCCCCACGGTCCCGGACCGCGTCAGTGGCCCTTCAGATCGCTCCAAGACGGCCGAAGAGGCCCCCAAGAAAGCCCAGAGACGGCCCAGGAGGTTCCCCAGATAAGTCAAGAGGGCCCCGAGAGAGCCCAAGAGCGACCCAAGATGGCCCGAAGAGCGCGACATTTCGAGGTCTCCGGTCTGCAAGGCTCCTACGACGCCCATCAAGAGGCTCCCAAGAAGCCCCCTGAGGCTCCCAAGAGGCCCCCCGGAAGCCCCAATAGGTCCCCAAGGGACCCTAGGGAAGCCCCCTACGATTTCCCAGATAGCTTTCCGGGAACATAATTCCTTGGCCTTCCGCCCACCGCCCCAAACATGTTTCCAATAGGCTTGCCGACCAGGCCAAAAGGCGCCCTCGGTAAGCCCCCAGAGGTCCCTCTTAGAGAGCCGAACAAATCATGCTCCCAGAAAGCTTCCTGGGACATGATTCTCTACCTCGGAGTAGGCCCGGGGGGGGGGGGGGGGG